TTTGGGTAACTAGTGCCCCCCACACTGATTTAAAAAAAAAAAAAAAAAAAAAACCAAAAAAAAAAAGGCTGTTAAATCCCAAACCATTTAAGATACAAAGCACAGTAATTGGCTACAGATAGTAGCAGTGTGCTCAGCTCCTGCATCTCAAGTAAGAATTTGCTTTTCTGGGGAGGCTTTGGCCTCAAAGTGGCAACATGAAACTCAGTTCGCTTGTATGAGCTAAGTTTCAGAGAAGCTCTTGTACTTTTTTTTTTTTTTTTTTAAGTACGAAAACTGCTAAATGTTAAGTAGGCAGTAATAAAGAGTTTTATAGACAGGATTTTTTAGTCACCAGTCTGCCCCCCACCGCCCCTCACCCCAGGATGATCCTGAACCATAAAACAGACGTACCAAATATCTTCAAGTGTAAAGCACAGCAACATGTGTTTAACAGGTACTTTGTCTATTAGTAAGCAAACTACTAGAACAGTTGCATACCAGATCTCTTACAGAGCAATTGCTGAACAGAAAGACATTTTCAAACCTGTGAGTAGGACAAGTCAGATCATCTCTACTGCCCTGCAAGTAAATATACAACAACCTAGAAACTATGATATAAAGGAAATTACGAAATGCTTACTCAAATATTTCATGTAGTACTCTATTCAGTAAAACTAACCTTGACATCCTGAAAAGAAACTGGTTCTTGTCCATGGATTTTCATTTGTTCCTGAATAGCCTAGAAAAAAAAAAAAAAGTTAGGAATAGGCAGTGCAGTATTATACTGACACTGTATGAAACTTTTTGAGTGCTTCTGCATCTTAAGCTGTATTGCCCTGTAACAAAGCATTCATAGTACAGCTTGCAATCAATTCTCTTCCACAAGTGAGGCAGGGGTGAGCTAAGGCATAATCAATGATTCACATCTCTAGGTTCACAGTTCTTAATCAGTATGATAAGAATCCGACTTTCATTATGACCGGTGTTTGCGCACTCTGCAGATGGGACATGCAGACACTTGAGTATTACCACTCAACACTCAAAGCTGAAGATAGTAATACACTCAAACCAGAAGGTTCAGTTTTCTGACAAAGTGTGAAATACAGATGGAAAAGACCAACCAGCAGACAGACAAAGCAGTGTGGCTACTCACACTCGCAACTACTTTGAAAATGGAACCTGTATTCTGGCTGATCAAATAATAACGTGAGGGAGACGATGTGTTTGTCTATTTGAGCATTTGCCCATGCATGGAAGGGTTCTCCCGGTTCATGCCCTAAGTGGGCATTTCTTGTTTTGTGCAAAATAGTATTCCCTACTATTAGTTCTTTTAATGTGGTACTCTTTAAACAGCTGCATCCCCAAACCTCTGCCTGCAAACAACTATGAACAAAACTGTTTCACTGGCACAAGCTGCATAGCCTTGTCAGCACAGCTGTATCAGCAGAGCCTCTGTAGCTGCAGACCTACCCACACTCATGCTAGCAGAAAAGCCATTATTCACAGAGTCAAAAGGAACTGTTCTGATTTCAAGGAAAACTTTGCACATTGCATTTTGCAAAAGTTTAAGGGAGGGACACATTTTGGAGTATGATCAAGCAACTGCTGTAGTCGAGGAATCTTTTCAGTAACTAAGCCATAGAGTAAGTATGTAACTGGAGACACGCACAAAAATAGCTATGCAACAGTAGCTTATGCAGAATTACCTTGTTAAATTGCTTTCATATTAGAATCACTTATCTACTATGACAACACTACAATTCATGTTTTTCTAAAATGTAAAACTGTCAATTAACACCCTTGATTAAAATCAGAGTCAGAGACAGTTGATGTGGCCCCCGCCTCCCTGAATCCTACTGCCATGTGAAAAGAAGCGGAGAAAGTGGTGGGAATGGTAAGCTGTAGAAGCAGGGAGAGAAGACGAATCGTTGTTTAGTTTCTCTAGGATCTTTAGTATTGCCACACCCTGGCCCGACAGTTGCCCACCAAGCGTACAACACAGCTACAACTTACTGAACAAAGTTCATGATGAAGTTGAAAAGGCGCATGAAAAAATCCTGCCTGCACCTGCAGCAGAACAACCCCGTGCAGCAGCACGCTC